ACTTTGTTTAGACGAGCAATAACTTAAGTGAAAAAACTATAAATTAATTCTTTTTACGGAGTTATCAGGCACTAAACTGGAACCAAATTCATACGATGGGCACCTTTTCTATATTTAATCCAATTTTTAAATAACATAATTAATGTTCCGTCACTTGAGGAATAACCCCGTCCTTCATGGCTATCACATTATTCTGTTGCAACTTTTGAATTGCTTCAGTTTTTTCGGATCGACCTGGATAACCCAGCCTACTAGCACCAGACTCCATTGACCCATTGCTTGGCCTTTCCTTATCCACCTGCTGTAATGTCTGAATTTCTTTAGTTTTTTCCGTCGGACGAGTACCTTTTCCTTTAACTCGTGAGTCTATCCGAGAAGTGTTTGCCAGACCTTCCTCCATGTTGGTTACATCCACTGCGACCTCCGGAATTACCGTGGAATCTTTATCAATGCCATTATTTCCCTCACCTAGAATTGCAAATCGAGAGCCCCTCGTATCATCACCACTTGTTTTCATATTCGGATTAGGATTTTTCTTCGTACGCCTTCTACGCGTTTCAACGATCATCCATGGTCCAAATCCCGACTCCTCACAACCTAATTCTTTATCCAAGTCAAAACTTGAACCACTGGCCACTCCTCCCTTACTAGTATTCACTTCAATAGAGCCACAAACATCTTTCGAATGCCCATATACTCCATATTGGAAACATATTTGTTGTAGTCCTTCATACTCAAGCTTTTGCTAGAACCCGTCAATCTTTAGGCATGGAATTAATGGTTTATTAAGATTCACCAACACCGCCAAACGAGCAAAATGACCTCTCTCTCCCGAATTTGTACTATAGTCGATCTTCACCACCTGACCAATAACTATAGCAATACGACGAAAAATCGCCTTTGAATAATATCTATAAGGAAGCCTCGATAATCTAACCCAGATGATTACCTGCGATGTATGTTTTTCTGATGTGGTGAATGTACGACTCCATGGTTGAACTGTTAGATAGCATCCGAAAATCGTCCACGGCCCTTCCATCAAGACATGAATATAATCCTGTTCACTTTCAAACTTCACCAAGAAATAATCATTCTCTAAATCGATGACTTGGTACTGTCCTTGGAGCTGCCATAATAAACCAATCCGATTCAACAACGTCTTAAAACCAATGGCACGTCCCAGGAGCCGGACTATCACCGAGCGTCTCATGCTATAGTCAATTCTGTCATGAACTTGATAAGCGAATTGAATCACAGGATACTGACCATTGATATCCACGATACATTCACCATCCAGAACCACTACCTCATCCATAGCCTGAAGCGAAACCACGTCCGTCGTCTGCTTCAATTCACTTGTGACAGCACTGGCGTAAGATCGCTTCTCCTGTTGTCGAGTTCCCTCTCCAATGCTATTAACAACCGATTGCGTCTCCATACCACTCTGATCTTCCTCCATTCGATCAACATTCATCTCTTTATTACGAACTTTTTTAGTAACACGTTGATCCTCGTCGGGGAAAGGGGAACCCAGTCTCTCCAAAGGTGGAGATGATAGAACTTTAATCCCATGTTGATTTCCAGCGAGGTTACTGCCAATTGGAGGAGGACCCGGGGGAACAAAGACAGGCGGTGGTAGATTGCAGTACTCTCGTAAGGGAGGGGCACTGTTTTCGTAAGGGTTTGAAATTTTATTTATACATTAATTACAAAATGAATCTAGAAATTTGGCTATTTAATATATATTCTAAAATTAATCTTAGTTTTTCAATTTAATCCCTAAAATGCTCATTTTTTAAAATTCAAAGAGTTTTATAAATTCGTTTGAGCTGATTTTTTCTTTTTTGAGTAATTTCAAGAGTGATTTCAAATGAAAGTGTGGCGTAATATTTTAGTTTTTAAGTGTTTTAAATGGTTCTGGTGTGAAATAACTAAAATATCCTTTATGTACCATCTAATTGTTTTATTAGATTAATCATGTCTATAGTAATGAATATTTATGTAAGTGTGATTAACCTGCATGAAGTTGATTCATGCTATCGTTTATATCGTTCGTAGTTAAAGGGAGGGGGAAACTAAGAAGTGTTGTATCTTTATAAGAATGAAGTCATTTTTATAATTAATGAATGTAATGTTTCGAATTCAAGTCAAACTGTCCCGGATGGATTTGAGATACCACATTCAAATCCTTCAAAATTATTCATAAAACTAAATTTAATCTCTAAAATTTCTCACCTTACAAATTCTAAAATTCGAACATGGTCTATTCTTAATATGAAGAAGAAAAGTATGAAGAAAAAATGTTTGTTCACCTGGGCGGAGTCGGGATCAGAGACAAAGCTAGGATTAAATATTGGTAGGGTGTAGAAATATTAAATTTTTTAAGAAAAAATACAATGATTTATAAAGTATTTAAACTTAAAATTCATAAAACAATACTTAATTTGTCTAATATTTAAACTTACAATAACCTAAATTGTTATTAGACCAAAAAAAATGAGAACATGAGATTATCATTCTTTAGTTCGACCCATACTTGATTAAATATTTAATAAATCTTTATATATATATATATATATATATATATATATATATATATATATATTAAATTTATATGTTTATTTTTACATGAATCAAAATACTATTAGACCAAAGTCAGTCGAATATATAAAATTTTTAGAGGGGCCTAAAGGGGCTCCAACAGAACTCCGCCTCTGGTCGGGATCAAATATTGGGAGGGACAAGATACTTAATTTCAAAATAATGACTTATTATATATTTATTCTAAAAATTTAGTGGGGCAAAAGTCAAATTTTATTTAAATTTAAACTTATAAGAACCTAAAATGTTATTAAACTAAAAAAATTTAGGAGGGACAAGAGTCCCTCCCGCTCCTATATAGCTCCATCCCTGTTGTTCACTTAACTTTTGTGGTGGATGTTACACAATTTTCAAACCTTCAAGTGGTTTTAAACGACCAAACAAAATGTCTCTTCATGTCCAAGTAACGTTTTTGTTAAAACTAGTCACATCAAGATTTAAAGTTGCTGGTACAATTATATATAAGTTCCATCATACATGTCCAAGAAAAAGCTAGAGGAATACGTATGAAGACAACTTGGAGAACGCCATGATTTGCAGTTCGCCAGTCTTCTCCCACTAAATTGCTTCTGATTGATGGTTGAAACTTGAAGAAAGAAAAAACTTGAAGTCCATTGATGTAATTATAAGCTCAGGATTCAACTGCTTGTCCTATGTTGCAGAAATGAAGGTTAAAAAAGACATGAAGATGACAGACTGATTTATATATAGCTGTTTGAATGAACTACTAATAAATTGAGCAAGGTGCATTTCCCATACAACTTGCAGAAAAAAAAGTGATCCTTTTAAAAAGGAAAGTGGGCAGTTTTGTCATTAAAAAGAAAGAAAATTAAAAACTTTATTGTATTTTGCATATTGCTTCATGTTGCCCTTAAAATAGTTGTGTAGTGGGTGGGACCGAAAATTATATGTGCATTGTGCAACAAGTCTTTTCGTAAAGGTTGCTGAAGCAACTTCAACAACAAAAGAAAGGAGACAAATTGGAACAGTCACCTCAACTAAAATTATTACTCATCTTATAAAACCAACTACCATTTTTTTCTAACCTTTCTTCCTTCTGATATTGCAGATATGCAGATTTCAGAATCAGATCAACGGTGGTATTGCCATTTTCATAGCAGAAAAATGGTACAACAAAAAATCGAAAAGGTTTCTCGGGATGATTCCGGTGTCGAGGTGATGATTTGCTGCAATAATAAGCTTGTGATATTGGTTGCATTTTACATCAGAAGTCCATACAGCACTAACCAAGAAGAAGATTCCAACAAATTTTAAATGCTTCTACCAATGTGAAATGAGCATTGATATTTCTTTGATGCTATTGTTTTTGTTCCCTAACAATCAACAAAAGGAAAATGAAGACAGAGAAGTATGGAAGTGCGGTCACATATGATCTTCAACATCAATCAAAATTCCAACACCAACTTATTATAAGACGAAAAAAAAAAGATGCCCCTTTTGTCTATTGATAAGACGTACAATTAAAGAGAGGCTTGTGCCTAAAATGCCAAAGAAGATCCTTTGATTCCTCACTTTCTCCATTATTTGAAGTGAAGGTGCATATAAGTAAGGGAAATCTGAATTATTGGATTCCATTATTATTATCATTGTTAAGGTTTAAGCCTTCATGGTACAGTCTATCATATTTTGCCGAGGACTCTTGAAGCACACTGCAATATAGGCCTGTAAATGAACCGAACGCACACGAACGAAAGTATGTTCATGTTCGTTCATTTAATAAATAAACGAACATAAACGAACAAATTGTTTTTATTCATGTTCGTTCATTAAGGAATATAGTTGGTTCATGTTCGTTCATTTAAATGATAAACGAACATAATAAACGAACATAATAAACGAACACAAACGAACGAACATAATAAATGAACACAATAAACGAACATAAACAAACAACACAAACACAAAAAACAAACTTATTCGAACACAACAAATGAATGTAAAAAAAAAGTGAACAAAAAGAATAACAACTTAAAATTCATTAATATAAACTGCAACTTTAGAATTAATTTGTTCGAATACGACAAAAACATACATAAATCATAAATAAGCTATATGAACATAATAAAGTCTTAAAGTTAATTTGTTCAACAAAACATTCTTCTTAAAATCCAAACAACTTCAATAATCTTCGTAACATATTCAACTTGCCCTTTATTCGAACATAAATGAACAAACATAAACGAACATATAATTGAACGTTCACGAACGTAAATGAGCAAACGAGTCATTTGTTCGTGTTCGTTCATTTAATTAAACGAACGCAAAATCTTATTCATGTTCGCTCATTTAATACATAAACGAACTTCCCGTCGCATGGTTCACTGAACGTTCAGTTCATTTACATACCTACTGCAATATCCAAAACAGGAACAATTATATTAATAAAAGCCCCAATATTCATGTAAATACGCTTCTTTTTACAATGACCCAGAATTCCAATGATAATCACTAACACCACCAAGTGATCTTTCATAAGAGTGATAAATATGGATTAAATCTGCATCCTCAAGATTTGCACATGTAGCATGGACCAAAGGTAGCCGACATTAGGCTTGATCTTCATCTCGTTAATTGATGATTACTTTCGGAATTCTACGCACTTCATCACCGAATTCACCGATGTTGCATCGACTGCATCGGGAAAGGAGTGTTGTATAATCCGAATTGAGATCTTGGAAGATTTCCTCTTAGCAAACTCTGTTCTTCCAGCTTGTCTCCATATGAAGAAATCGCACAGACAGGGGAGAGGAAGGCATTCATCTGGTCAAAAACTATAGCTGCTCCTTCATTTTGTTGCTTCCATTCAAAATCAAAGGCCTCTTTAGTAACTCCAGCCACTTTCGGTTCCCCTTGTGGCTGCATGGCTGTGGAAGAATCATTCGGAGACAAAAGGTTGCTATGATCCAGTGAAGGAATTGCCGAATCGGGGACATTAACTGTTGTGATATCATGGATACTTGACCTTCTCTTATCTTTCCCACCAGTCAGCTGCCTGATGAAGTACTTTTGAGCATGACTTGCCACCTGTGTCGGGGTTCTAGTCGTCACAAAATTGCGCGAAATGTTTTTCCAATCCCCTTTACCATACTTTTTAAGCCCCATTAAAAATTGCCTGTCATTAACCAAACTCAGCTGCTATAGGATGCTAGCTAAAACAAATTCCAACATTCATAACAATTTCAAGGATAAATCTGGAGAGCACATTCCTACCATAAGTTTCAGATTATTTCGCTTTAAAACCGAATCGACTACATTCACAGTAATTTCAAGTATCCAAATTATCAATCTTCAACAAAAAGCAAACTCCCAGTTCAACTCTACGGATTCCACACTTGATATCCTAAAGACTGGTTCATCCAATCATAGTTAAATGGTAAAAAAAAAATATCAAAGACTTAACTCTACAAATTCTACATGATAAAACCAACCATAACTTGATTTATCCTATCACAGTTGAATAGCATCCAAATTTATCAAAAGACAAAACAATCACCTGTGTTCTTCTTCAGTCCATGGCACTCCTTTCTTCCTTTCCTGATCAGAAGGTCCTCTTTTTCCACCTGGAGTGTAATAGTTTCTGAATCCATCAAAGGCTTGACTAACATCAACCCACTCCAATGTAAAAGACTCAGTGTTATATCTAGGGATTGGTATAAGCCCGGCCTCGATATCACTAACATCTTCTTCCAATTCTGTGTACTGTTTGATCACATCTACTACTGTTTTCCCAGGAATCATGGCTGCCACCTTTAACCATCTATCAGGAGTGTCTTTGTCATATAAAGCCAAAGCATTTTCAAAACACTTGTTCTCATGGGGAGTCCATCTTGTACCTTTGCTCTCTTGAAAAAACCAATTGGATGTCTGGTAATAAGAAGCTGGGGAGAGGATTTCAAGTCCCCTACTCATTGCTGCCAAAAATGAAGAAAAAAAAATTCGCTTTTTCTCCTCCTTTGAGTTGAATGTTCAAACAGAGAGAGAATCCAACACAGAAAAATGCCAAGGAAGCATTAATGGAATCTGAGTACCCTTTTTCACATAATAGAAGAATCTGAAAAAGGAACCAACTTCCAAAAGCCAAGGAAAGTTTGGAGAAATTGTAGTAAAAAACAGATCTTGATGTATGAATGGAAAAAACCCTAGACAGCCATAACAGATCCAAACCCACATACAACAACAGTAAATTTAAAAAACTGAAAATCAAAACCCAGATCAGAATTCAAAAAACCAAATCAAAGAGTGAACTTTGAAAGACAAAGGTGGAAAGAAAAACACTGAAAATCCAAGTTGTAAGCTTTAATATTCACCTGGGAAGATAAAGCAAAAGCAAATAGACCAAAGAGAGAGGAGTGCGTGAATGAAGGCTTATATGTATGAAACAGAGAATGAGCAGCAGAGAGTGAAATGCAAAGAAGAAATAAAGGGGTCAAGGGTGGTGAGTTGTGATTGGTGAGAATGGAGAATGTGGGCGCTATCTGTGGTTGGACCAAACCGAAGTTGTATATGTTACTAATATATTGAAAGCGACGCCAGTAAAGAGATAATGAGCAATAGCCAAATAGCCAACCGGCTTTGAAGCTTTTTCACCCTGCCTGCCTGCTTTGCTGAATGAATGAATGCATGAATTGAACAACTAAAATGGGTGCTGGGGTTTCTTTGGTCATTTTATCCGAAGAAAAATACCAACCCTAACCCACGAACCTAAAAAAAACCGAGTATTTTTTTTAAAAAAAATTCTGACTCGGCCGGGTGGATACTCAACCGGACATTTTTTGGATCAGGCTCGGGATTTTCTGGATCAGGGTCACAAAATTAAATTTTTTGGGTAAACTACATATTTGGTTATTTATATATTATCTAATTTATATTTTAGTCACTCGATTATTATTTAGGATAAACTACCTATTTGGTCACTTATATATTATCTAATTTATGTTTTGGTCATTCGATTATTATTTAGGGTAAACTACCTATTTGGTCACTTATATATTTTCTAATTTATCTTTTGGTCACTTGATTATTATTTAGGGTAAACTACCTATTTGGCCACTTATATATTTTCTAATTTATCTTTTGATCACTCGATTATTATTTTTTCAAAATTATACTTAACGTTACGTTTTGATTCTGTTTTGGTCACCCATATTTAAAAATGAACAATGATGCTAACATGACATTTTTTTTAATTATGTTTGGATGTTGGACTATGTAATTCGAAGTTTCGAACATTTAAATTTGTGTGTTTTTAATTAATAATTTGAAGAAGAGAAAACCCAGGTACGGGTACCCGATTACCGGACCCATAACATCCGGATCAAGATACGGATCAAGAAATAAATTATCCGAAGATCCTAGTACCCGACACTTCTAGTACCCGGATTTACACACCCCTAACTGAAGCACGTGACCATGTTGGTTTTTTGTCATTGATATCAATATTGCATTTCTGCGACTGTAATTTTAGTTTGGTACAAAGTTAAAATTAACCCCTATTATTTATCTTAATATTTATCTTAATGATCATTTTAATTCTTTTTTTAAATATTTAAATTTAAATAATTATTTTAATAGAAAACTTTAAATTACTTGAATGAAAAATAATAATACTTTAAATATTTATTTTGATAAATATTTTGATAAAACACTTTAACTGGTTTGATAAAAATTAATATTATTTAGGATAAATTACACAGTTCATCACTAAACTTACTCACTCACTAAACTTTTAATTTTTTTAATTTGCTCACTGAATTTTATAGATTGATTTTTTAGTCACTCGGCCATTAACCTTGTAATGACATTGTAACTTGACACGATTAAATAACTTTTTTATTTTAAAATACATATAAAAAAGTCTTTTTCCTTCCCCTTAATTTTCTCCTTTTTTTCTTTTTTCTTCTTCTTTTTCTCCCATTTTCTCTTCATTTCTTTCCTCAATTTAAATGAACCCAAGTTTTGATCACCACGTCCATCATTATTCTGACCATCAACGGTTGTCGCTCTAACTATTGTTGGTCAAACGAAGAGAAAAAAAATGGGGTAGCAAAAGGAACAAACCAGAGAATAAAGGGGCTATCGAAGATCCCAATACAATCTTACTATCTACCATTTTCGATAACCTTCAACCACCGTCGAGACCCCCTTCATACTATCTGTGCTACTTCCATCTAAATCACCATCAACCTTCACCATCTTCACACTAAACATACTCACCCAAACCACTACACCTCTACCTACTGGTATATTACTTCTACCCATATAACCTACAAAATCATTGTTTCCCTTAATCAAAGCAATTCCCGTTAGGTTTGTAAACGAACCAAATGTTCAGCGAACCGTTCGACGGGAAATTCGTTTATGTTCGTTTATTTTTTAAAAGAACGAACATGAACAATATTTTATATCCGTTTAATTAAATGAACAAACATGAACAAATGGCTCATTCGTTCGTTTACATTTGTGAACGTTCGGTAATATATTCGTTTATGTCCGTTCATTTATATTCGTTCGTTTATGAATGTTTATACTCGTTCGTTTATGTTTAACTCAATCTCCATACTCATTTAAAATATTAAGACCCAATCATTAATATTTTAAAACACAAATAATTTTAAACCTAAATCAATCAAAGAAAATATAAACCATGCCTATTTAAAACCGAAACAATTTTAAACCCAAATGAAAATGTAAACCCTAACACTAGTTGAAAAGTAAAAACTCTTTTCAAATCTCAATCTAAGCTCAAGTCGTTTGCATCTTTGCCCATTGTTATCTAGTGTTCTTTGCTAAACCACCAAAGACGATAATCGATCGAAGCTTCAAGGTAAATTTTCTTTCAAGAATTTCAAATCTTCTTAGCATCTTTAGTTCTTCACTGATTTTGCAAAGGTTAGATAGTTTTTATATTTTTGCAAATAGTATAAAGACTATTGTTCATTGCTATTATGTTTTAGTGTATAATTCCGATTTCCTTTCATCGGTACCAAATTACCCAATACCTTTAACAGCTTCCTTGACTTTTAACCCTAATTTGATGTCCTTTTTTAGAACCGTAAACTGACAGTGACTCTAAACAAATTATCTTATGTTAATTTTTTTTTTTTTTTGTAATTTTTTGTTACTGCACTCTTTGTTGAACTACATATGTCTTGACTCCTTTAATTTAATATAATTCCATTGGTTTGATTCTGATCATGATGGATGGTAAATTAATGATTGTTCATGAATGCTACTTGAATATGTTACGAAGATGTTTGAATTTTAACAAGACTGTTTTATTGAACAAATGAACTCCAAGAAATTTTTATTTTCATGTAGCTTATTTACGATTTATATATGTTTTTTTCGTACTCGAACAATTTAACTCTGAAGTTGTAAGTTGTATTAATGAATTTTATGTGGTTATTGTTCTTGTTGTTTACGTTTGTTTACGTTCATTTGTTGTGATTGATTATGTTCGTTTGTTATGTTTGTGCAGATTTGTTTGTGTTCGTTTACGCTTGTTTGTGTTCGTTTACGCTTGTTTATGTTCGTTTACGTTTGCTCATTTGTGTTCATTTGTGTTTGTTTATGTTTATTTACGTTTGTTTATTGTGTTTGTTTATCTTTGTTTATGTTCGTTTTTTTTTGTTTATGTTCGTTTATCATTTTAATAAACACGAACAAGCTACATTCCTTAATGATCGAACACGAACAAAAAATTTTGTTCGTTTATTTTATCTGTGTTCGTTCGTTTACGGTTAAAATTAAATGAATGAATACAAACATACCCCGTTCGTGTTCGTTTACAAGCCTAATCCTGACTTCAAATGGAGTTGCTATTTGAAATTCATTTTACTTTGATTCAAATGCTGAAAATAGTTTCAAAAATTCGTAAAGCATAGTGGGTGAGGAGGGAAACTTCCCTGCTCGATAATAATTAATCCATAGAAATAAATAAATCATCGCAATAGAGTTTACAAAATATGGGGAGCTCCCAAAGTATATCCAAAATAATAAAATACTGAGTGCAAATCAAAAGTTACTACTGAATACACGCAAGGGTCTATAAATAGTACATGCCCTCTAAGAATGACTCAAGACATACTCTGATAATCTATGTTGATCTGATCTACTGCACTAGAATGTCTGGTTACGATAACTCCCCACAAACGGCCTCCTAAAAACCTGCGCACAGGAACACATTTCGAATACTGAGCTTACGAGCTTAGTGCCTCACTAATAATTGTATTATACTACATGCATTCACTAAATGAACTGGCTAGTGGCACATGTCTGAATCATGATAATACCGATCTACTAAGCTATGGTTGGCATCATGTTGCGGCTGAAGGTTCTGCATCTCGAAGCTCACGCATCCCTCTAGCCTACCAGAATACCCTCGAGTATTCTAGGATGAGATCCAGAACCGTATCAGAAACGTACACCTAGCCAACTTACTCCGTCAAGTCTTATGGCATCTGCGCCCAGTCGGCTGCTGAAGTGCCTTGGCACTGACTTGGATATCCACTAACTGACGTATTCTGCTAAAGAGGGACTCAGGTGCCCTGACTGTTTCTCGAGTCTCAAACAAGGCTAGTTTTATATAATTCTAGTTGATATTGTTTCTAATAACCTGATATTAATTATTGTTCTCGATTGAAGTCTTATTTGTTGTTATTCTGGTCTAATGACTCGAAATACTAAAAGTTTCGGGTCATTTCGTTCAGGCTTATGAATGACTTTGCCTTAGTATATGAAACTTTGGACCCAAGTGGATTTGATTTGGGCTTGGGATGAGCCCAACTAGCTTAAAAGGGGATGATTTTAATCATACATCAAATGAGGAGTGATTAGGTGGGTAATTAACTCATTCATTTGAATCAAATTTGATTCCTCATTAAGGGTGATGACTTCACATCTGATTTTTCTCATATCTCTTTGCACCCCATGCTTTGTCTTTTTTCTCTCTTCTTCTTCATTCTTTTCCTTTCTAAGCCAAGATAAAGCTAGGAACTTTAAGAAACTCAAGCTTCATTGGAGAATTTTAAGGTAAGAACTAATATCTCCATCTCTCAAGCTTTAATCCAAGCCCTCATTTGCAAGTTTTGGTTGAGTTAGCAAAATTTTGGTTTATGTGGGGTTTAGAAAACTTTGTGATTCAGTTTGTTTTGGGAGAGTTTTAAGTTATAGAAACGTTTCTAACCTCATTTCAAGTATTTTCATGAGTTAATAACTCATTTTCCATGGTTTGATTAGTGCAAGAGCAAGGGGAGAGCTTAAAGGCTAAAGGCAAGGAAAAGTTGGTCTTAGGGTGATTT